TTAATAATTTATATAATTCTACTGTATCGTAGAATATTATTAAAAATCTTTCACATTTTTGCACACAGTTGTTTGCGCGAGAATCTACTCATGATGACTGCCTTTTTAAAAACGTTATCATTATTCTCGCTAATAAGTCTCGCTTATCATGTGTATAAATTTTGCTTGTCCAATGTCAATAAACATCGATTTTCATCGCGCGTCGGAAATAACACTATCAAAATTTCACATCTGCGAAATTAGCCGGTCGCTTACCTGAGGAACGCTCGTGAGGAACATTGCTCGTTGGCGTCCCTCGTTCGCGAATTCACTGCTCTGAATCTCTCCGAATTCTCTTTCATTCACTTGATAATCGGGTACTTCGTGCTCCGACCGATCCGTACACGCTGAGCATCCGATCACGACTGCAGCCCTTCAATACCGGCGCTTCAAAAGAGCGAACTCGCGAACGAGAAAGACGGAGAGGGAGATATCGTCGACAGAGATCTCTGCCCCTACCACGTCGCGCACGGAAAGCAATTCTGACAGCAGCTATTGTACAGGGTTCGCACGGAATGCAGGACGAACCAGGATGACTAGAGATACTTTATCCTTAAAATGGAAAGATCAGAACCTCTATTGTATTTTACCTGTACCTGAAATATCGGCTATACTACCGTAGGTCGAATTTTTGGGAGCTTACAATTAGTTGCCCATAGTTATTTTTTTAGTTTTAAGATTAATGGTTATTGGAAATCCTGTTTGACAAAAATCTATTTTAAGATCTTTTCACTTAAAAATTAAAATTAAAATAGATTTTCTATATTGTTTGATAATTTTGAATGTAATTAAAAATGTATTTGCACAAAGAATAATACGAGAGAGAATTTAAACAAGTCGCGATCGACTAAAGGTGTTATAATAAGCTTCGCTATCTTAGCTTATTTGATATCGCGACGACGACGTCTCGAGTATCTTCTCCAAGCTCACTGAGTAATATTGATATTTGTAGCACTTTGCTACGAGATAATAACGAAGTAAAAGTACAATAACGAAAATTAGAAACCAGAGAAGATGTAAAGTACGTGCGATTACTCACGCTACATCGAGTTTTTTTCGGAGGGTAGTGAGACACCCGTGGTTAACGACGCGTTGAGCGTATCAATCGGCATCACGAATCCTCCGGGACTGCCAATTCTCCCTCGTTAATTTTTATTATCTCTTCTCTCGCCGCCGTTTCTCGCTGCCTCCCTCGTCGACAGATACCACGTGCGTGCCGCCACCGACCCGGCAACCGCAGACCGTAAATATACCCGGTGCGCGTTTCGAGCCGAGCGCATCGGAGCACTGCGTGCACGCGCAGAGCGCAGACGCATTCGATGCGTGCATTCCGCCCTCTCCCCCAAATTCCCCTCGGGTTCCCGTCGCGCGACAGTGACCCCCACCGCGCCCATTCATCCCCGTGCATTCACGACGAAAAGCGACGACGCCCCGACTCGCGAGGAGAGAAATCCCTCCCGACGCTCCCGTATCCCCTTGATCAATACTCGACTTCCTCCGCGCCAACCGCGAATATCCTCACGATCCTCTCTGGACCGCGCTCGAGTTTCGGCATGCTGAATAGAATAGGATATACATACGTCGAGACAAAAGAACCGCCGAGATGTCGGTGTAAAGGGCGATTTGTGTGCAGCGTCGAGAGATTGAATAAATAAACAGTACGACGCGACGCCGCGGTCCATGTAACATGTAACTGATACTGAACCGTTGTATGAAAAAGCGCCAATAGTTTTGCCATTTTATTTTTAAATCAATCGATTGAACGAAATTATGAAAGAAAGACTTATTGCGAAATGCCATTTTTTATTTATTTTAAAGAAACAGAATGAAAATGCTCATATTATGTTATATTTAAAAGAGAATGAATTCTATATACTGTTAGAAAGACAATTTTATCTAGACAAGTGTTGAAAGAAAAATATCCATACTTTGTCTCATTTTACACAAGAAACGATTTTCTTTTCCGATGAAAAAAAAAACCTTTAGACAAGATTAGGATTTCGTATCAAAGCGGACCTTTTTCTATTACAAAGGACACGTCGTTGGCAGAAGACAAATGTTCGTGCAGAAAGCGTTTATTTCACGACTGACAGCAACCTCAGTTAAATGCTAGGATATTACAAGTAAAATCAACAATTGTATCGACTTCCCGAAAAATACGATTGACAGCGGGGATTTTCATCAGAAACATTAATTAATAGAACGAATTTATATTGTAGAATAATATAAAATAAAATGCGATCTAATTGCAAACCTATTACATATGTTTATAAAATATTCATCGGACTTTTTCCTAAAAATGGCAATGTAATGTAGATTTTGTACGCAAATAAAACGATTTCAAATTGCTATAGGCAAAACCTTTTCACGATTGATCGGAGAATAATTTTAAATCAATAGTCATCGCTAATGCCCGCCGATTGCATGCTGGTTTTATGACTGACTACCCGTTTATCGCTCCCTTTTCCTACCAATATCGGATACAGCTGTAAAATATGCCCACGATGCCGCGCCCACACATATTCATGTGTTTATGAGTACTTAACAGGCTACGCAAGAACGTCAGTAGTCTAAAGATCATGTAGGTGAAGGGTTTGAGATTTAAGCATCTTAAGCATAGCTTCACATGTCTTGTATGCCAATAGCAACGAATCCTTGCTACGCGCATAATTATGTAAATATTATAAGAAATTACATTGGTGATTGTGCAAAAGGTATTAGATCTTTCTAACTTGAATACATTCATAGAATCAACCGTTAGTCAATTGAAATGAAAATAATCATAAATCAATCAATATAAAAATTGCTAGAAAATAAATATGCGCATTGACTTTATGACATATTGGACATATGATTCAAATGTTTCTTATAAAACTTTATATATTAATTTTCTATGTAAAAATTGAATATATATAATACCAAATTAAATATTGATTCAGTTCAATTAAAAAATCAATATTTATATATATATAATTTATATGGATACGAAAAATACCTCGAACGTAGGTTAGACGAGGAGGGCGAGTCGACGTGCAGAATTTTCTTTTCCTTCTTTATGAGAATAGCCTGTCAAATGCTGTATAATGTTGAACTTCCATGCAATCACAAAGTAGAATATTTTCCTTCCGCAAATACATACAGCGTAATCACTCGGAAGCCGATTGCTAAGTATTAAGTAGCTATCATCCTATGAATGTTTTCCATTCGCGAGACGGATTTCCAATTTTCGATTGTTTCCTGGTTGTCACGATGCTGCTCATAAAACAGGAAGTGGATCAGTTAGTCACAATGCATACATGCGTTTTTTTCTCTTGTCTGTATGTATGTCTATAAGCATACGCCACGTCGTGCATTGCTATGCATCTTAATACACGTCAGACTAGAGAAATGCTAAATAAAGTTGCATTCGCAGCAATAACCAAAATGGAATCAAAATATGAAAAATACAATTGTATCTCTACGAAAGTGCTGTACCATAAAAAGAGCGAATATAAAGATATGCTCGGTGCTGAATGTAGGGTTACTACATTTTACAGCAAGATAGAGACGCCTTCTTCCGCTAACAAAGCATTTTCTCTATAATCATAAATAATAACATGCATGTATATGTCATGAAACTGCACGGACTGTAGATACAGAATAGCGGAATGATAAAAAGTGTGCATACGCGGAAAGTCATAATATCGTGGCATCACAACAATGTCAAACAACGGTATAATTGGAACGCACTCTACAAAAGAAAGAAGTCAATAATCGAAATATTTTTAGATATCTTATTTGCAATATATGTGATTAAATTATAATCTTCCAAATTTACATAAAAGATATTAATAAACTTTTACCCCTCACATGTTTTCCCGATATAATATTATGTGTATATTATTCATTATCTCTTTAATAAAAAAATCTTCTTTTTTTTAAACAATAGCTCTGCTACATTGAGAAAACGCTCAAGTTTATGAAAGAAAATTATAAAAATGCAATAAAGATGAACTGGTACCAGGAGGCACCAGTTGGCGTGCCTAAAGATTCGGTCCTAAGCTCTGCCATGCTCTGATTATTACAGCGTTTATCGATTGTACCATGCTTCTATTTTTGATATCTTGTCCCCAAAAACCCGATAAGTTGACTGAATTATAATAATCCATACATAGAAATTGCTCGCGTGCGTTAAACCGTTTCTACGATGGCAGTAATGCTCGCAGTTGATTCTAAATCTATCAATTGTACAAATAATACGAGATTTGTATTTCGAATATAAATAAGAAATTTTAATACTTTGGATAATTTTTGGTTAAGTTTTAACATAACAATATTTCCTTTAATCCAACACCGGATTAAAATAATGGCCAATAAAATCCCGTTCTTCCAGAAAACTTTTTTTTCAAACATAAATTTAGTGAGTCGATTTCAAGAGCGCTGATATATTTTGTGATTTACATCACAATAATACATGAAGAGAAAGTCTTGATTCAAATATAAAAATATAAAATATATATATAAATATATGGTTAAAAGAGGCGATAGCGTCTCGTCTTGAAAATTCAACAAGCTCTCGCGCGAATATTAAAGGTTATCACAGAATTTCCGATTGGAAATCTTTGATTGATTTCATTCTCGTTATTATAGTTACCACATTATATATGTTTTGATTGAAAGAGAGAAACTTACACATATGTCCAAAGATTGCTATGCCTCTTAATCAAATAAAGCGCATTTATATTTATATACGTTTATTCACTTGCGCATCATTATGCGATGTCTCCAGTATTAGAACTGCCGGTAAAGTCACTATTTGGTACGTCTATATTAGCATGGATACGCACTAAATGGTGACTTTATCAACAGTCGAAAAGTGACTGTTCCAGGTTCCAGTCCAGGTTCCAGAATTCTCAAAAGTGGGAATTGGGAATGAGAAATAAAGCTGTGTTAGCTGTCAGCTGTTGTGCGGAACATTTCTCTTCATTTTGACTTTCTGTTATCCACGTGGTGATATTTAAAAGCGTAAACGATATTTAAATAATTGATGACATCTAATCTTCGTGTTTCAGTGAAGCTCAAATAGAGATTTAGTTGGCGATGGCGGAAATATCGTCCGAACGGTATCAGAAATTTTTGTTGTATCTATAATATAGAGAGAGTGACAGAGAGACAGAGAGAGAGAGAGAGAGAGAGAGAGATGCTAAATTATTAATAAAGTATATTCGATTATTGACAATATCTTATTTTATCTATATATATAGAGACCTTAATTCTAAGAGATCGTCGTACATTGATTGGGATGAATATTTCATGGCTATAGCGTTCCTTTCCGCAAAACGGAGCAAAGATCCCTGCACCCAGGTCGGCGCGTGTATTGTTAATAATGATAAACGAATTGTCGGCATTGGGTATAACGGAATGCCCATGGGATGTGATGATGATGAGTTTCCATGGGGAAAGAGCTCTCGCAACGGTTTAGATACAAAATATCTTTACGGTACAATATATGATAAACATAATATTTTTTTACAAGATACACATATACACATAAAAATGATAAACGAGATATTATTTAATTATTAAGAATTCGTATCAATTCATTGGTGTTGAATTGTAGTATGTCATGCAGAAATTAATGCAGTTCTAAATAAGAATTCAAGCAATGTTAAAGACTGTACAATGTATGTTGCTTTGTTTCCATGCAACGAATGTGCGAAAGTAATAATACAATCTGGCATAAAAACAGTAATATACATGTCGGATAAAAATGCTCATAAAGTTGAAGCAATAGCTGCAAAGAAAATGTTTGACGCTGCTGATATAAAGTATAGGTATTGTTAGTTGGAATGGCTGTGGTTAATTTATTGCTACAATAGCAAGATCTCCTTTTATAGCAAAAATTCATTAATTTTCTTTTAGGCAATATATCCCCAAAAATCAGAAAATAGAAATTAATTTCAGTGATATTAATTGGAATGAGATGAGTCAATTACCACAAACTCCAACAAAACCAGAAGATTAAAAAAGGAAGATTAAAATTATCATATCAATCATTATTGTATCATGTGTATATGAACTAATATGAATACTAATTGTATCTTATTTTTGTATGTTTTATTCTTTTACAGAATATATTTTACCTAAATAAATCGCTATATATATAAAGCATAAAAATATACTAATCCTCTCTTAGAATTGCGAAAAACACAATAAAAATTAAGAGGCTTCTTCTATCAGAACACATCATGGTAGCATGTACAATAAAAAAAATTTTTTTTTTTCCATGTTTCTATTCATTTATTTATTTTTTCATTTGACATTTCATAAGTTGAATCTTTCCATGTAATGTTAATCACCAGATAGCACGTGAAAGTACAACTTGTGATTGTATTTATTGGATATTGATTTTTTTGAAAGATCAAACATTAATATTTACATATAAAAGTTAATTAAGAGTAGGTACAAATGCAGGCAAAGCAAACCTGCTCTTTTTTCAAACTTTACAGATCTGATAAGTCCTGTTTTCTTTTTTGACCTTAACATGAGCATTCAGAAAATAAATAAAACAATATACAGAAAGAGTGAAATGATTGCAATAGACTAACAAGAAAAAACTCAGGATTAAACTCCATTGATCCAAGAAAAACTTGAAGATTATAGAGCAAATAAAAGTATTATTATACTCAGGTAAAACTCACTTTATAGTTCTGACAAGTTTCACTAAATTGATAGAATTCAGTTCTCTGAGCCTTCCCTTGTAAAATAGAATCAAGTATATGACACAAGTCTATTTATGCGTTTTACCTGCTGTACAAATATAATTAATGATAATATTCTTATGGCATAATGTAATAAGAAATATGTAACAATGTTTATTTTTTCTTTGAATTAAGCGGACTACGGTAAATTAGTTTTACATGATATAATTTATGGTGATGCAATATAATTAAAGGAAATGGTTAAACATAAGGATTTTTGATATATATATATATATATATATGTATGTATGTGTGTATGTGTGTTAATATGTGTTTTATGTACATACTATACATTCGAATTCGTTCAATTAAAATGTTATCCCACTTAATTCCTCAGTGAATATAATGCGAGGAAAAGTTAGAGACAATGAGCATGATTATATTACGGAATCTGAGAATTCATCACATAGAAATGTCTTCCGTATTACAGAAAATTGAGATTACATATCAGTGTAGAATACTATGCATCGTAAACCGACGTCAAATCAATGAATAATGTTTAGAATATTATTTATTATGTTTAAATGTTGATATTATATTTCATGTCAGTACTTTTCCACTTTTGCTATACATTTGATATCATATATCAATCATTATATCGGAGTGAACAATATATATGAATGCAATATATATGTATAATGTCACTCTGTTTTATGAAACAAAATATTTGAGTAAATTCTAAAGATATGTAGACTACTTTGTAACATCGAGTATAAATGACAAATTTTACATTCGATTATATTTTAATAATGAGGTCAGATATCTATGCACGTAAAAAGTGCAAAAGTAATTTATTTAATAAAAATTATTAGTGATCAAAAAATTCTGTGTGATGAATCCAATTATATCCATAGAGATGGAAGAGAGAGAGAGAGAGAGAAAATATATGGTCTAGAGAGAATAACTCAGAGAGAAAATAACCCAAGCTAGTATAATATTGTTTAGGGATTAAAAGGCAAATCTAGAGTCACTTTTGACAAATTCGAATAAATTCGCAATTAGCACTATTTATTTTCTATGTTTTGATGTTTGTGTCTATATGCACGTGATAAAAGTTTTTATATTGAGGTAACAACCTCCGGTAAAGATTGGAGCAACTAATATGTAAGCTATCAAGAACACTTGGAATTACACAGAGTTCAATACTCTCGATTATAGAAAAAAATATCTAAATAAATCAAATTTAAAAAGATTAAAATTTTCGGTATAGATACATGGTCATGATGTCCAATTACATTTTTTAACAAAATATATAATTGTGTATATATAATATAGTTTACGCATTATATTCTAGAGATAAATTGCCAATATAATCGATCTTATTTCAATGAAATTATTCCATCGATTTTCGATTTCTCGTTTTACGATAATAGCCGGTATGAGATACTTTACGGGTGAAAGAGAGAGAGAAAGAGAGAGTAAGGTAAATATAACTAATACAATAAAACATAGATACCTATTATATGTTTATGATTATTGTATGACGTGTTTGAGTAGGTGATTAACATTCAGATAATATTCATCAGCGGCAAATTCACTCGTCGCTCATTGAAAGAAAGTCGTAAGACATATACACTTATAGTATTTGAAATATGTACAAACATTATTAATAGCTTGGTAGTACCTATGGTCATTTCGTATCGAAAATGTTTTTACGGAAAAATTGAAAACTTAAAAATAGCACATTATTTCCGAAAATTAAACGAGGTAATTATAACATCCCTTAACTTGTACCGATAGCCTTTAAACCTTTAGTGTTCATTAAAATTTCCGCAATCCGTCGATGTATACATGTACGATGATAATCGTTATCAGCACACTAACGACTGTTCGATTTATGATATACTTTGGTAGTTGGCGTATACGATACGCAGTTTGTCGTTTCTATAATAACTTTCACAGAGACTTTCGCAAACAGACACTACTTATTTATTGACTTCTCGATGGAATATCAGGGCTCCAATCCAAACGTAGATCATTACCCTGAGCAAAAACACAGGAATAAAATATGTATCTAAGAGGAAAAGCGTTAGGTCATTTTGTTCATTCGAATCAAAGTTTATGGGTGAGGCGAACCAGAAGTTAGTACACGATGTGGGAACAGAGTCCATCCAAATGCGGCGACGGACATGCACGGTACAGTACTCGGTACTCGATCGTCTAGCGTTTTGCGGCCTCTACATAGTAGAGTATTATGTAGGCATCGCTGGAAATTGTACACCTTAATCTCGAGTAGAAATATTCGCATAGAACGCGCGTATGTATGTATACAAGTCTTGTCTTTTTGTACCAATGTGTTAGTCTCGCACGCGTTATTTTACACACTGCACGTCTCGTACACAAAACAATTCGCACTTTCGTCGACTACACCCCTCCCGCTTTGATCTCCATCCCTCTTTTCGCATTTAGCGTTGCCGCACACAATAAGTAGAACGTGAATCAAATTAATAATCGATCTCGATTGTTAACTAATATTTAGCTAAGTCGTCATCTCTTATCCCTTTTTTTCATTCTCATAACATTCCGGACCACATTGAAAACCATAGATGGGTCCGCGTCGTATTATAATTTATTAAGATTGTTTGTCCAGTATTGTTCTAGCACTGTTCGCACTACGTGCGAAATATTCTCGAGGAACCAGTTTCTGTATAACACATGCTTTACTCGATTGGTTATTTCGCCAATTTCGCTTCATTTGTTTTTGTCACGACACCTAAAATATGATTTTAAGTTCTCTAGAGCAGATTAGAACGCTCCGCACACCAGCTCCTCATTGACTCGCCTAACTACGGATAGCAATTCAGTGACGCTGCAATAGCGCGTGCCTGGATCAGTTTTTAATCGAGTTCTCTTTCTCTTGATGATTGTTGGCTTTCGGCTCGGGCGGCCGAAACGCGGTGGCGAACGGGAACCGCACGTGACATTTCGCCACGTAATCGGCTATCGTATCGTCGCAGTGTCCGAAGTCGCCGTTACGCAATGCCTCAAGCACCTTTGTGCAGTTCTGCAACGTCACGCCTTCCAGATTCTCAATGTTTGTCGCGAGGGATAGCGCTTTCGTCTGTGCGGATGGGTCTAGGACATACAACATCCTCGCGGCTTGCAACAGATGCGCCAGCGAATTCCTATTCTTCTTCAAGTATTCGGCATTTAATTGAGCCGTCTTTGTACTGGAGAAGATCCCGACAGTCTGACGTTTTACAACTTCGCCTACCGCTCCTTCCAGCTGCATTTTGCTGGTATGCAGCAGAAAACGCACCAAACACGTATGCAAATCTGGATTGTTCGCATCCAGCCTATGAGCGCGTTTTATCGAGCGTAACATGAGAAGAGTGCGACCTGTAAGAGAAATAGACATTTACTATCTTGCGCGCTAAATAAGAATTAATTCGGCAAAATTATTTCCCTCAATAGTGACTCGACTTGTGTATGCACTGTTAAACATATTCCTAAAATACCTTTGCGAATATATATCTCGAAAGCCATAAGATGCGTCTCTATTCGATTCGACGCTAGTTCTTGCAAAGGGTGCAGAAACTTTATTGCTTGTTCCAGTGGATCTTCGATCTGAAAAGTATATATAAAAATTAATTTATTTAATGTGTTACTAATTAAGAAATTATATTAAGTAATTTTCACTGATTTATTTCTTTTTTTAAAGAAATTTTCCTTTTTTATTACTTATAAATTGCCGTAAAAACGTGTTAACATCAACATTTCAATAATAACGTCGATCTGATGGTTGGATCTGAAAAAAAGAACGATGCTTATTCTATCATTTATAAGTTTATATTAACCCTTTCCAGCTTTTCCGGAATTAATTCGTCTAGTGTGGGTTGTTCGAGATCAGGGTCATTTTGCTGTCGAGATTTGTTATGCTGCTCTCGTTTTTCCTGAGCTTGAGCGGCTTGTTGCCGTTCCAATTCAGCCTTTCTGCGTTGTTTCCTCTGTTTGTTCCTTAGCTTCTTCAATTCGGATGGCGCCAAGTTTTCTGTAACACAGCGAAAAGAAGAGCATTACATTTCTAATAAAAATAATTATTACGCAGATACGTAGAAATTGCGTAATCGATGAAAACGCTTAGACTTATTTGCTCGGCAGAACAGAAAGCCAATTTTTTGTGTTTACAGTTACCTCATTATTAACAATTTAAACAAAAATGACTTATACATGTAAGAATGATTTCTTTTTTATGATTCAACATATGAGATTACTCAATAAAATACGAATGCGGAATTTTGTGTATGTGTGTGTATATCCTTTTGAATTTTTTGTCATCATTATGCAAGATTTTCCCCCGTTTCAAGAAAACGGAGGAGATCAGTTTCGACATAACTTCCGCCGCTTTTAAATATCAGCGTAATCTCTTCGCTTTTGCTGACGTACTTGCCAAGGTTGTATATACAGTATTTCACGATATGATGGATAAAATAATATACGGCTTAGCCGATTTCACAGTCTTTTTTCCACTTTTCCTCGCCTTCGGTCGTGGTCAGGCTTATTGATAGTTATTCAGTAAGTCTGGCATGCGTGCACGTGCTTCGCGTGCTCCTTAGTCACGTGCACGCCCCGCGGATACCGTGGGACGAGTGGCAGAAGTAGAAAGGAGCCCCTTGCGCCAAAGCTGCGTAATCGCTCGCCGAAAACCGTAAATATATCCAAGCATTTCGCGAAAAACGATTACCGAGGAAATGATCACGCCGGCTTTCTGCCAGTAATTGAGTAAGACAGCGGTAGAACGTAATGACAAGACAGGCGGATAAGTTCGGGTCACTTTTGTTGAACTTTAAAAAATACACAAGATCCTGAATCTCTCTCTTCATCAAAAGATTTCTCAGAACTTTATCCTATGTTTTTCAGAAGGTTATCTTAAACTTTTTTCGCGCAATAAATACGAAAAATAAAAAATAATATGCCACAAGTTCTATTCTTTTCTCATTATTATAAAATATTCATATGAAAATATTTTTAAGTATTACAGAATAAATGATCTACATTCTCAAAATATGTAAAGATGGAAAAAATGCAGATATAGATAAAAAAAACACTATTTAAAATTTTCCAGCATTTTTATCCATCAATTGCCTTAATGATTAGTCGTTATATAGAAAAGTAAGACCAAAGGTTTCGATTGTTGCGCTAATCTGTGAACGTTTAGCTTGCTCAGTGGGCATTAACGTTTTAATTACCGCTGTATTAATTTAGTATTATAGCGCGAAAATTGCGAGCACTTTCCAATTATGTAAGGGCTAGTCAATGCTTTATTAGAACGCGGTAGAGAACTGTTGCCATGCTCCGTAAATTCGCGAGTGGCGTAGGTGTTACCTCAGAAAGGATTCATACGACTCCTTGAAAGGCAATTCCATCTTATCTCTTACATAAGAATTATTTACATGTTATTTTGGCAGTGGATATACATATTGCGATCTATGCGCGAAATTCATACAATTTCAAATCGCTAGTTATCCTATATATTATCTACGATAATATTCATGTAGTTAATACATAATATAAGAAAAAAAAAATTTTTTTTTGGTAATTATTATATATATATCTTTCAGTGTGGTAATAATATTATCTTGTCTCATTTCAATAGATAATGTAGCATAAAGCTTGCAATATAAACTTATCAAAGCATGCACTAATCCCTTGTAATTATATCATATATAATGTTCAATAAGATTCTGATTAATGCTGGGACAAACACCTTCATTGTTAATTAGGCATTGGTATGCAAAGATCGACGGTAGATTTTTCGTCCTTGATAAAATAAAAAGGAGGACCTTGCACGCGTGTTACGAGTGTGCTCAGGAATGTGGAGCAACAGGCGCATAAGCCTTTCATGCAAATTGCATCCCTCTATGAACTCGCATGCGTGCACAATTAAATGCGTCGGTCTCGCCATCATTAAAATCATTCGCGATTTTCACGAAAATTCGATTGTCATGTCGATTGATCATAGATTCCCGCAAATCGTCGCGATTATCTACAAAACGATTCAATTTCGCCGGAATCATTACAGCATTCCTTAAGATTGTTTCCTCATATTTTTTGTTTGTGTTACCCATTCGATAACTTACGCGCAACAAATTTCACATAATTTCAGTCATGTTAAAAGCGCGATGCAAAGCATTTCGATTCAGCGACTAAATTGCTTCTGATTTATATACGACATAGTATGCCTTTGTATGGTCTTTCGATATAATGTTGAAAAATTAAATCGTTTCCTCGATCGCTTTCAATGTGCAACCGCACCTTAACGTGTACAGTTATGTCCCACGAATGATTTGTGCTCCTACACGATTGCTGGGACAATATACGTAGACAATATATTCACACTGTGTTGCCAATAATTGCTCATTCGATTTAAAAGAGAAAGAAATAATCGAAGTAGCGGAAGTATCGCGTGCTTTTGGTTTTACCACAATTTATTTTTTCTTTTATTTCTATTCTAATGGAGAAATAATCTATGAGATACAAACCAAACAGCTTATAATTTTTAGCATCCATTTTAAATGACAACTTGTAAAAAAAAAACTTCGTTGTAATTTTTTATTAAATAGGGATAATGCTCTGATATATAGTTTTTGAAAAAAACTCGGGAGACATTCAATTCATTTATACATATAATAATGCATTGCAGAAATCGATGATTTCTCTACGACACCCACAGGGTGATTTACATAATCTGTTGCAGTCTTCCCAATGCATTGCAATATAGCCCATCTCACATCACGTCATGACAAATGGATCCTGTTGAATTCATCTATCCGGGATATTCGCAGCGTGTGAATCGTACGTTTTTCATCGCCGTATATTCGAACAGAAGTGTTCTCTCCATGTGAAAACCGCGTGCAAAGATATTGCCTGTTTTTTCGACCTGTATTATCATCTCGCGTGGGCGAGATGAGTCGTTGGAGTTTTTTTGAACAAAGGCACGATTTGCGAGCCGAGGTCGGCACAAAAGATGCACCGCCTTTGTGCAACAAATTCAGCCGGATTTACCGCGTAAAACAATTGTGATTGCGTAAGGGCTGCAGAAATGATGGGGGCGGCAAGGACGGCGCAATGGAAAAGGATGCCACGCTTCAAACGCCGTCATTAGAACGCAAAGACAAAAAAAAAAGCGCGCAAATGACATCTACCGCCGACGCTGTCTTTTAATTGAACACGCAGGAACCTCGGACGCATTTCAATTTCGCAAAGTGAGTCCTTCCCATGCTAGTCTTGCGGAAAAAAACCTTCCTCTCGCGGCGTACTTAGACGTCATTGAGTTAGAAACGCGCATTTCAGACGTAGCAAAGATTCTGCGATAAATACAGCGGTGAAAAAATTGAGATAATTGCTATAGTTAATTGTCTTATTAATTTTGCTTGGTGCATAAAACCGCAAGATGACAGAAAATTGGCGAATATGTGAGTATACAAAATATATCGATAAATAATAAAATGAAACAGTACAGAAAGGAACCAGAAAGTAATATATGAACACGTTGAAATACTAATATATATGCGAATATATTGTTTACAGTAATTCAGTTTCTATTCGTTTCTTATCAATTCTCGATGCATCTATGGATTCAATCATTGAACAAGCGAAAGTTCACAAGAACGTTTCACGTATAGTCAACAAGCGAATTGAACGTTATGTTATGTGGTGTTGATCGACGAAGTTACTTTGGTCAGTCAGTAATGTCGGCAACCAGAAATTCAACAAGTGCATCCAAGAAACCGTTTTCGCAACATCGCGACATGAATCGTGCCGATTTATTACCATAGCAATATACAATCTAGAGTTCCGCGTTCAATTCCTTTACGGTGTATATTGCGGTAAAATTGCTCGCAAAAATTCCATTCTTTTATTGATAGATCACATTCTTCCGATGCCGATATAAAGAACGTGCATAACGGGAAGAATAATCATCGATCGATTAATTACATTAAATACCGGTTCCGTTAAATGAGTAAAATATGATAATTGGCAAAGTATAATTTTTTATATACCGTAACAGGGCGTAATCAATCTACATACAGTTATACTATAATATATTATATGATATAGATAATGTCAGAATAATCGGCAATAATACTAGTAACGGCTGTAATCGTCAAAAAAGGAGTTATGTATAATTAGTATAATCGCCGTTTCAGCCCTGACGAATAGCTACGAAACGCAAATGATTCTCCGTTACAACGGGTGTTTTTATTACACAAAAGAACATCTATATTAGGACCGTAGAAAAGCGGTAACACGCTTAATGAAACGCTTTGATTCTTCCGATGATCGTCGATCGCGAACTCATTAACTTCTTACGTCATCTTAATAAGAGTCGGAGAGTCGCAAGGATGATATGCCACGCACGCCAATGTCGCTACGATTCAATCAAGCCATTAAAAATACGAGACCGTCTTTGCTCTTTTATTACATCAAAGAGTCCGATCGCTGGCGATTATTATCCATGCGTGCGAGTCACGTTTATAATACTGATTACGTAAAACCCAACAGACGAATGTATTTTGCGCTGCGACAATCAAACTCGTTCGTTTCCTGTTAATTTCTCGAAAAGCTAGATTTGTATCTTCCCCAGAAAACTATAAATAGTGTTTAAAAAAATATATTTATAGATTTTAATTACCCCTTTTTCTTGAGTCTAAAAATGGATAAGTTCTTTTCTTAAGAAGTATATTTATAGAAATATTTCTAAAACTTATTCTAGATCAAAGCATCACAAAAAAATACTTGAATTATTTATTTATATTCTTATTCTATTATCATCTTAAGTTTTGTGCACATGCAACCTTGATTTTATATTTTAAGCAAGAAAGATACTTTCATCATTCTACTTCAAAGTGTCGTAAAAATTTTTTACCGGGCACATTTATATTACACTGACGACTCGCGCGAGAACAAAGTGGAAAGTAATAGCGATACCTGGTTTGTAATAAAAAAACATTCACGCGGGAAAAATTGATCTATAAATTCTAACGCTGC